GCTCCCTGTGGTAGAAACACAGACACGGAACAAACAGAATTATGCCACTTTTGTCAACTAGAAATGATGGAAACCAGACAAGTGGTCTATCGTACATTCTCTTTCTTTCACTGATGAGTGAGCACCCAACCACAGTTAGTCTGCCAGGTAATTCTTTACAGTGTGTACTTTTCAATTAATTTATTGGCATTTAGGGAAAGAATTAATTACTTGGAGTGACATGACACTAAGTAAAATATAACAGTTTGAGTCTTCACTGGGTATGAAATACTACCATACTTCGGGGATTGCCAAAGCTCAAGGAATGAAAACCATTAAATGGATGGGATGGTCCCTTTATATACAGCTATATTTCTAGCAATATACTATGACTGGACTTAAAAAAAGAAGTTATGTTTCTGGTCAGCATGTGCACTAACAAAAACATTTTTTTTTAATTTTCTTTACAGATTTCACTACTGCACAGCAAAATCTGCAAAATTTGTGCCCTGGCAAATATTTTAGCAAAAAACAAACAGAAAATGCCTCATCACCGAATTTTTTAAAATCAATTTGACCAGAAATTTGTTGTGCTATGTGAGGACATATGTGAAACAAATAAATAAATAAAAATATAAATAAATGAATAAAAAAATAAACACACAAACAAACAAACAAATAAACGAATAAATTAATAAACATATAAATAAACAAACAAACAAATAAATAAACAAATAGGCAAATAAATAAATAAATAAATAAATAAATAAATAAATAAAAGTAATTTTAAACATGCTGAAAATATCTCTTTACTTTATTGTTGTCCAATAGATGAAATAGGGGAAGACAATCATAAATCATAGGCCTTCCCAAACCTGGGTATCAATTAAAGTTATGGGTTTTCTAGTTGCTTGGATACACTGTGTATTAAAATGCCATGCTATTAAAATAACACAGTACTTTACTTGTAACCTAAATAATCTGATTCTTTTAACCTTGATGGTATTTTCTGCTGTTTTCTTTAGTTTAAGCTAGATTTGATTCATTCTTGTAGATCCTTGCAATTAATTCTTCTACAGTGAATAATATATATGTCCCTGCAATGGTAACCAGTGAAATACTAAATGTATAGATAGGGGAAAAACAATCCCATACATTCCGAGATATCTAGTTGCTAGGCTACCACATGTGTATTATTTGTTATGTTAAGTTAGGGTACTTGCTAAATAAATGTACCCGCATTTCCAAAAGCTTTCCAATATAAAGGTGTGAGATTTGTTGACAGGGTACAACTGAACTCATCTAGTGTGATACCTTATTTGAATAGACACAATACATTACTCTTGTTGTCATAGATTCTTTCACCAAGTCAATCACATTGTGAATGTAGACATATACTCTCCCACAGATCACTATAGGATTAAATAGAGTACTATAACAATATAGTATAGAAACTAAATATAAAGGCAAGAAATGCAATTTGTTCTACACATAGATACTGAGTCCTAATAACAATGCCACCTGCTACAAACAGGTATTTGATATTAAATAAACAAACCAAACTGTCACAACTGCCATACAGACTGTTTACATAATGACCAGTAGACAAGATGTGAAACATAAAGGTCAGGTTTGTATAACTACCAGAACTCAAATCTACTACTGTAGTATGTCTAAGTTTCTTTTTACCACTGAACTGAGCACAACTTGCTAGAAAGATGGTTCAATGTGATTTTTGATCAGTTTTTCTTTGTAAAAAGCATACTATCAGTAAATATATAAATAATTGTTATTATTATTATTATTAATTGTAAATATTATTAATTATTGGAATTAATGTTATTCAGGGAATCATTGAATAAAATATATATGAACTGTAATTATATAATGTTTCTCTGGTATACATTATATTTTATTCATATGATTCTCTCAGCCAAGGGCATCATACATGTATGACATGGCAAAATATGGTGATAACCCCCCCCCCCCCTCCTGCATAGATGTATGTGACAACTACATCATCCATGAGACATGTGTTCTGTATTAATCCATTGCCTATGAACCTCACAGGTCATGTCATGTCATGTCATTTCCCAGGTTAAATATGGGACAAATTGACTTTTAGCATTTAAAATATCAAATGAAAAACAAGACAAATTCAAAGTGGATATAGCATGGAAAATGAGAATTATTATTTTTTTGTACAAGACCATGTTATAATGTGGCTGTTATTCATGGGAAACAAAATCTGCTAATTAATGGGAATTAAATGTGCAGGCATATGAAAATATGCTATGCTACGTGAATTTTCATGATAATATGCATAACATTGTCTTACTATGGTAGAGAAAATCACTTTGAAAAAAACAACAACACATTTTTATACAATTTGAGATATAAATTATTAGTCCATTCCACGGAGCAACACTTTAGATATCGTGATGAAATACTTTCACCATAGAAACCAATGCAAAAACACAATAGAGTCTATAGATAAGTGAAAACAATTCAAGAATAGACCAGGTATACACAAGCACTGAATACATGTGAACCATGCCGATTTAATGTAATTACAATATACCGTATTTGTAAAAAATGAAGAAAAAAACTCATATTTCTATTGGGTCCAAGACTAGAAAAAAGAAAGTGTTTACACTAAATGCCAGCAATGATCACCAAGATGGTGGACAATAGATACTTCACTCTTATAAAACATTCTTATTGTATTTATCACTGGGGTAGGCCTGACTTTTCCCAATGGCTTTTAAATTTTACAATTTAAGAACATACAATGCAATGTCACTCAGTAGTCCACCCCTCAACAAGGATTACAATACCTTTTCATCGTAAATCTATTGGTAAATTCACATAATTGACCCAGGCCTGGTATCACACAAAGTCACTAGGGTAATGAAATTGTTAAAATCAAAAAAGGTCACTCTTAAAATGCCATCCAAGTCAAGCAAAGTGAACACACAGTCAAATGATTAAAAACCTAATCTGTCTTCATCTATTCAGACTAAAAATAACATTAGACTGAATTGTCTGAAAAACTGGGTACCCCTCAGTACTTGAAAAGATTATTTAGGTTTGTTATAATGTGGCTGTTATTCATGGGAAACACAATCAGCTAATTAATGAAAATTAAATGTGCAGGCATAAAGCTTAAAACTTTTTCAGAAACAAGCAGTCTGTTGGCTGAGATAGCTCCGCTGTTAGTAATGCACATCTCAAGTAAAAAACTGAAGATATCATTAGAAAATGAACAATATTTATAGTATCAAAGCAATTGGACCTGCAGTTTTCAACAAGAATTTGAAAATATCACTTTTCACAAAAAATTTCAAAAAGTTAGATAATTAAAGGTATTATCACTAAATGAACAAATCTGAGAGAGGTCTACTTGAGGTACCTATATGTATAGTATCAAAGCAATCAGACTTGCGGTTTTTAACAAGAAGTCAAAAATATCACCATCTCGAGAAAAAGTGTTTTCTCAAAATTAATTTTATCATCCAGGTTCTTACATTTCTTACAAAATTTTCTGTTACACTTACTTGAGTTTTCCTGGTATAGTATAATGGTCTTGTGTTGTAATAGTGGTATCTGTAATGTCTTCATGTGATTCATCTAACAAAGATTCAGCGAACTCATCCAGTTTGGCGTACAGTGCTTGGATGTCAGGTGTGGATACAAATACACGCCTTCTTGTCTCAGCAAATGCCTCATGTGCCATCCATTCCTGAAACTGTTCCCCACCTGAATGAAAATAACGCTTTATGGATTAAAAGTACAATGAAATGATTTTATGGTCAATTATATTTCTTTGGACTATCAAAGCCAGATGCAGTACTAATGTGTACTGATGACAATAATACTGTATAAATACTTCTTCAGAAAACTCAATTCTAAGTTTTGAGAGGTGTTCATTGTAACTCAATTATAAAAATTCATGCAAATAGCTAGAAATGTAAATTTTTGTCTTCTCTTGGATTTGTTTATGTTCATAGAATGTACATTTTATTCCCATTTAGTAGCACAACAATCATATTTGATTTAATAACTTTTAAAAAAAAATGGCAAAATCACAGCTCCTCAACCTTTTTACCACCAAACTTTCCCTTCCAAATTTTTTCTGCATTTTTTTCTTATATTTTTAATATTTCTGGAAATGAACCCTAAATGTGGAGGTAACATACAACATTTGAGTCAATTTTCACTCAAAATATTTGGAGTATTGCCCATCTTCTGAAGGAAAGTGCAGACTATAAACAGGACTAATTTGTGAATTTGTGATGAAAAGAAGGAACTGGTGGTGAAAAGGTTAAAACCTTAGAATACCGCCTGTAGGCTATTCTATTATGGTCATGTATTGAGATACTATATGTACCTACCCATGCCTAGTATAAGCTCATTGATGTCCGGATACATTTTATTAATAATACCAGTCCAATCTTCCAAAACCAATCTCCCAAGTTCTTGTGGAGTTTGGAAATATTTAACAGGAAGACCTTTTGTGACAATTCTTTTTTTCAAATCACGCATCTTGAGCTCAGCATAGTCACTCTCTGCATGGTATTTCTGTAATTTGGGAAATATGCAAATAATATTAATTGTTTAATCTTACATAAATAACAGAGGTGTTTCTATAGGCAAAACAGGTTGTATTTGAATGATTTAGTTTACAATAAATATATTTTCACTGTTCCTAGGGTCCAAGAAATACTGACTCACAACGACTTTTGTGAATGTTTTTAAATTATGAGTGTCATTAAATCGGGAAAACATGTTTACAGTATTTGCTAAATCATGTACTAGTACTAAGTCAAATGTCCAACTGCAAAAAATTTATTTTATATTAAATTTGTTTTATAACAACCAGCTATGAACAATGACAACAAAATGGCGGACAAATGGACAAGAATACCATGTGACACAGTAATATCCACAAATGGAACCAATGCATTCAAACGTATCATTAACATACACATGTCTAGTATCTGTAAGGTTGTGAGACAACTCACAGAAGTTTTTGCAGACCTCACAAGTTTCACAGAAATTAATCTGATGTTGGTTTAATCCAGACCAATCTGATTAAAATCTGATGCAGGCTTTATTTTTAATTTATCGAACTATTTTTTATTTACCCAGGTAGGGCGTCAAAATAACAAAATGTTAAAACCATGTAAAACAATGGAAAAAACAAAAAAATTATTGTTAATTCAAACAAAATAAATAATAATTTAATTTGAATCTAGAAAAGAAACACTTCTTGAATAGCTTATTTTACCAAATAGGATTGAAACAAAACAAAAAAAACAATAACACAGACATAAACATTACATCAGCTTATAACTAACTTTTTAAAGTAGCTATAGTACAGTGTGAGTCAGAAACCTGTGAACATTACACATGTTTACTAAATTTTATAAATTCTGATTGGCCAATCCAGCAATGGTTTTGTGAAATCATAGCCAATATAAATTAATGTTAATGAGTTAGTTGATAGTCATCCAATCAGCAAACACAATAATTTTAATGAGTAGGCGATAGTAGACATCCAATATATAATTGAAGATAATGAGCTATTATTAAATATTTATAATGTGTTTATAAACTAAGATACAGGTTTCTGCTATTCACTGTAGTTTGTCTTTTAAAGAAGCAACATATATGTTACTGTTAGTCATTCATATTCATTGCATTAACAGAGCATGAAATTGTTGTCACACCAGTCTAACTGGACCGTGATGAACACTGTGGCATATAATTACAAGAGAGTAGTGAATGAAATTAATACGCTAAATACATCTTACTTGAAAGAATGTTCCATTTTCTTTGATGTATAAATGTACATTGATTCAACTACTTTGCAAGAAAAGTACACCAACTGTGAGGCGTGTTTATTAAAAACATACTCACTGTATTTGGCGGTATTGTTTTCAAGTGACAAAGCCCTAACCAATCATCATGCAAAGTTGGTTGCTACAGTGACAGAAACTAAATCATGCTAACATAAACATATCAACTTCGCTTGATAAGAGAAAGATGACCGACATACCACGTACTTGTTAATGTTTCAAAGCAACACTATCAGTTGTACAAGCATTGCTACGGGAACTAGCTGTAGCACAACAATAACAACGAAAATCCACATACCATACTACATGTATCAATGGCCTAATTCACACCTATATTCTATCGCTATACTGCTCAGAGCTTAATTATTCGCTGCGTTTTATTTTTGTTTGTTTCATTGATAGTTATATTAAAATACAGTAAAATTTAAATGTAACTACAGAACGTAAGTATTGATTCTTTTAGAACCTATCCGTGCAACATCAGATCCATTAAAATTAAAATTTACAGTATCCATTACAAATGTGAAATAACAACAACAAAATGACCACAGGTAAATTGAAATCTCCAATGAAAGAAAAAACTGGAAATATAAGAAAACAATGGGTACTGAATTGTGAGCTACATGTAAGGTTTTATCAAAAGGTAGTTCAAAAAAATTGAGAAAGTAAAATATAAAAAAACGTAATTAAAACATGGCGCTAAAGATTATTTTAATAACTTAGTGTGACATATTTTTCTCACCAAAATTTTGGACTAACATTCTGCCCATTTTTGTATTTTTCAATAATTCTCAGCATAATTTTAGGTTAAATGAACGTACTTTTCTATTGGCTACAGGTCAAAATTTTGAAAAAAAAACAATGAAAACAATCATAGGAGTTTTATTTTTGTTAAAGTACCCAAAGGTTAGCATCACACAATAAGTATGTGTGTGCTACCATGTTTACAACAAACAAATAATACTACTTCCTGCAAAGAAAACTTTAGAGGTCTGCTAAGTAGGTAACATGTGTTAGTGCAATACAGTTTTAAATATCCAACATAACACATGTTATTGTGTATTTTTGTGTGCTCGAATATCCAATTAATTTTTACAATCGATAACATTTAATTACATTGGATTGCAAAAGGTGAGTATCTGCATATTATTTACTAGAGACAGCTGTGAAGAGAAAAACCTGTAAACATGCTTTATTGTCATCGTTTGTTCTCACAACTATTATGTGAATATAATGTTTTTTTTAAAAAACAAAATAGCATTGCAATAAAAGAAAGAGAGCAGATGTGTAGCAGGTGTTGAGCCCTGATGATTCGACTTAAATTCAATACCCACATGTTCTAAACTATACTGACAATATGGTGTACAGAATAAATTGAGAATTAATTTGTGATTATTGAAATTTTATTCTATATTCTGATCTTTTTCAATAATGATATTTTAATGATGTACCGTGGCAACACATTTACAATGGCAACTCAGCAGAGCCAATCAGTTGGACAGTAAATTAACACATCAACACAATATGAACAGTAATGATATCAGATATGAACGTGCAGGAAATTTATCATGGAAATGAAAAATTATAGATTATTTTTGATGGAAGAAAAATGTAATATAATTCAACTAAGAGATAGATTAGTTATATGATCAGATGCTATTTTATGCACTTCTTATTTTCACATTTTTATACTGTATTATTAATCATCAGTCATTCCACTAAATTATGTGCTTGGTCACATTTTTAAAAAGTAACATTTCTGGGGATTTTATTTTTGAAATTTTGTTTGTATGACCAAACATATATAACCTCATGAATATCTTTAATTACCCCACTATGTTAATGTTACCAAATACCTCACGATTTCACATTAAATTGCTTACATATTATTTTTATTTTAGTAGATTATGGAAAATTAATTATTACAGTCAGCAGGTGGTGGTTATTACCAGAGAAGGATTTAGAGAGGGAACGCCCAAACTGGACCACTACTAATGCAGTACTAATTACGCCTATTACCCATACGTCATAATGATATTATTGTTAAGCCTAAAAGGTGCTCCTTCTCAAACCACACATCCTGCATCTGCATTGTATTATACCAAAAAATATTGAACTTGAGTGTCACTGGTACAGATGGGTCCAAGCACATTATAGAGCATGTCAAGGAAGTCCATTGTTGAAGAGGTGTATAGTTTTTAAAATCCTGGCTGTGTAAATGATATAAGACCCAAAAAATCCATTGAGTGCACAAGAATGCTTGAGTGATTGTACATTTGGACCTACCCCAATGCACATATCAATTTCAAATACGAGTAAATACAAACCTATAGTACAGCCAAGCCTTAGGGGCAAATAATGTCTTACTTTAGCAAAACCTGTCAGCAACATATAATAATACATATAATAATATCTTCCAGCTTTGTGTTTTAAGTGAATTTCAACTCAAAATTTGTCATTGTATGTGCCTGTAAAACACTTTGCTTGAATTTTGAATTTAATTTCACAGCAGGAGTATGTCAAGGAAAAAAAATCTAACATAAGTACAATATCCCTTATACATGTATAATCATTGAAAATAAGCTACACTCAAACATGCTGTATTCAGTGAAAATATACACATGTACCGGTATCAACTAAAAAAAACTGTCTATAAAATTTGAATACTGTAAAATACTTTTTTTTTAGATGGAATTCATTTTTTGATGAATTGACATTTTGACTGTTTTGTATGACATTTATTTTCACTGTATTTTGATATGAGTTGAATGTAACACATAGACAGTGAAAATTAATTCCCAGAGAAAATAAAGAACTTCACAGTAACACTGAAATATAGATGAAAATAATTTTAGATAAGTAAATTTATCAGCAATAAATCATCTGTATGCCTTGTTTGCCATGAGATACAATATATTGAACAGAAAAGACAACATGTACTTTATAACACTTGTTCTTATTATGTTTCATTTTATATTGTATTGTAAGTGCATCTTAAATACAAGCTCACACAAACCAAAAAAAAACAAAAACATTTATTAGTACACGTATTGTACATAGTTTGCTGACATAATTTTACCATAGACACACTTCTGTATTTTATGCACTACTAACACAGGGAATACATACAACTTGTGCAAGTCTCTTTTAATATCATTCTGCATACAAACTAATAAAATTATCCAAATAACCACTTAATAAATTGTTTCTCTTTTGATCAATATGTAAGGTATTAAAATACGATATGGAAATATAAAAATCAAGAACAATGGTTAATTATTACTAATTTTCAGTTTACTTTTGGAACTAACATTTCTTGAAAAATTTGCTAAATTTTTTTTTGTTAGTGACTGTTTTCAATACAGAAGAAAAATATTCAATGACACTTGCCATGTACAGTCATTTTAATTACAAACTGTTTTAAATATGATGTTTACTTCTTCTGGGTTTGCCTATCTGTTGTTCTTTTAACCTTTTATATTTTTGTCCTGCCCTTGCCTGTTGCTACATGTGTAGGTAGGTCAAATATGCGCAAACAGAATTACATCACGTCTGTTGGTAATTCAGTAATCAGGAATTTACAGTAACTTTTTTTATTTATCTATATGCATCTTCCATGCAGATTACAATGAAATTGCAAGCTCTATCATATTCAATTGTACATGTGTGCTAGGTAAACTAACAAGATTAACTCAGAAAAGAAAAGTGAGATTAGATTGCGCTTACTTTTCAGTATGTATTGGATCAATTCTCACATTTTTTTCATTTGAAGAATGGTTTCTCAATTTTGTTTTCTTTCAGTGGGAAAGTTGTTTTTATTCTGTTTCACTTTGGTTTTAGTTGTTTAAATGTCAGTGTGAATATAGATTATGGACAAATTTTTTGCTTGTTTTTAATGCAGAATATTTTCAATGAAATTTTAATCTGTAAAAGTCTGAAAATCGAAACCTCACCTCCAATAGTATCTCTCTTTCTTCTTCTGGAAGGTCTGTAAATAAATTGTCTATGTGGACGGACTCACGGAAGTAGAAATGACAATGAGCATTGTCATTGAGAAATGCAGCCTGGATAATTTCCAATTCAGTCACACTGCAAGTTTGGTGTGACTCTTGCAAAACCCAGGAGTAGCCATTGCTAGCTGCTACAAGAAAGTTTTTATCCAACCAGCTGGAATCGTCAGGAATATCAGTGCAGTTCCTCTGCAACGGTGGTGCATCAATTGGTCTGTGTGATCCATAACGTTCTCCGAGGAGACAAATAAAAAAAGGTGTGCATCTGTTAATGTAGTCCAAACACAGTGTGACAACATTTCCTGAGTTACTCTGTTCATCGTTTATTCCCCACCGAAGATCCACTGGTGCAAAGTATGTACCACGTTGCCGACACAAATTATCGATCTGTGGAAAGACTTTCCTGACGAGATAGTCTCGTTCTTCAGCAAAATCCTTGAATGTAGAGCTTATGAATGGTCTTACTGGTTGTCGCCAAGAGAACTGACGTTTTACTCCACTTAAGCCACGCTGTAGTTTGGGTCGCTTTCTGGCCGAGCTCATCATGAGATGTGTTTTGGAATCTTGACAGGTAATACTTTGCGTTTACATTTCGTGTTGGTATCCAAGTAATTCATTACTCTAAACCATTGTCATGTAGCATTCACAAAAATCTGTCAAGAATGAAGAAGAACGGAAATATTTGTATCAAGTGTAATATTTATGATTTAATCTCTTGATCGCCATCCACAAAATAGTTCCATTTATAGTCTGCTCTTTTCCAACATTCAATGTTTTTAATTTAATTTTTTGATCAAAAACTAGACGCAATGTTACATTTTGTCTGTTTTGTCCAAAATTATGATTGAATTCACAGAAAATGTGAAAAAGTTCAACCCAATTAGAGCGGAAAAAAAATTGAAGTTGAAAAATGTTGCAGTTATGATTCTGAACAAGTGTGGAAGTCTGACCGACTTCGCTGCAGTGTATGTATTTGTTTAGTTTCATTGTAGATCGCGATCACCCTACGACAGACAACATAACAATACATGTACTGCCAATAAAAAAACAGCAACAAAAAAAAAAGGAAGTTGAGAGAACTACATCGAAACCAAGAGCAACAGTAAATGGATCTACAGGTACTAAGTAGTCGGAATGATGAATCAAAACACGATGCCAATGCAAGATTAAATTAAATTAAAAAGTTGACAGCAACTCCAAAAAAATCAAATCGATACATTTTTTGAGGATGACAATTATACCATGCCTTAGGTTGCCTTCAAGTTTTATGGTGATCACACTACTTAACACAATAACAAAATGTGCATTGTTTATCCTAACTGACATGAGTGTTATCACAGAGTGGCTACGGTGTTACACACACTGGCACAGATTATAAACACGACATAAGAACTTATCATGCCCCACAGACAAATTTCGTGATACTTACTGGTCTACGAATTTTGAAATGTAAATCTCTTCATGATCCTGAAATAAAGATATCCCCGGGAAAATAACGGAAGTTGACACAAAGCTTTCAGCGTCGTTTATCGCTAGGCAGCAAAATACAAGGACAACCACTCGGGAAAGTCCTGCAACCTCGTTCAATTCTGTAGTTATATGAAAGATATAATATCGCATTTTTTGTAATTCTGCCCATTTATATGTTAAAACAAATTAAATTATTTTAATAATTATTGTTTTGAAAGTATTAACCTTTTGAATTCTGGCAATAAAGCTCTATTACTAAGATACATATTCCATGTATAGGAACGAGGATAGTCATATTTCTACCCCGCTTAAAATGTGCAATAGAAACCTATAGTTAGTTTTCTAAACTTCTTAACGCATTCCCATTAGGTTATGACGGTAATTATCAGGGATATTTAAAATAAACGCTTATTTTGATCATGAATAAATTAACGTATACAATCTTGACCCAGACTGACATCATGACGTTGTTATGACCCCCATAATTTTGAGTTCATATTCCTGGCCAATAAGAAAGGGCCACGCTCTGAGGTTGTAGTCTATGATTTGGTACTATTTTATTGGTCCATTTTGATCACGAGGGGATACGCGGTATGCTCTGATTGGCCGAGAATCTTCGAGGTATTCCCTAAACTGACCGGGATTTCCGTGTTGACTCCACTCAGCTGAACTACTGGCTCTCTTTCACCTGGGCTTCGGAGATAGGTTAAGATATAATCAAAATGAAGAGTCAATTTTGGTTGTTAGCCCTTTTCGGCTTACTGCTCGCGTCAAGTAAGTTCAATTTTATTCACATTTTTTACAATTTTATTTAAAATGAAACGTTCTGTCGACTGCTGTACATGTGAAACGTGTTCTGGATGCGGAAGTGCTTACGCGTACTCCCAATTATACGTGAGTTGGAACAGTGTTCACACGTTGGGAACATAAATAAATGAACGTTGGTTTGCCTTTTTTTCAATTCATTATTTTCACATTCATTTATATTATAGTTCTCGTGTTGTCAAATAAACGCAATAAACTAATGTTAACATTTTCCGTCCGCCATCGATTCCAGAATCTTCGAAAACTATTCACGCCTTTTAGTTTTTTTACACCAACTGATCATGTTTGCGAGACATTGTAGATGCTCTCAGATCCCATGTAAGTCCTAAAATCGTGAAAACAGCTAACAGTGACTGTCCGAATTACGTTCCTATAGTTTGTATGCAATAACCTTATCCAACTATCGATCAGAATTGCTGTTGCCCCTATTTGTATATTCTTATATCTCCCCATTTTGTTGTCAACATAATTATAATTCAGTGACTTTTCTCCAAAATAATGTTGAGAAAAATGGCAGTAGGCTAATGTAAGCCCAATATTTAAAATTTTAATAATTCTGGTTATATAGGTTATATAGTTCCAAATTAGATCAGTATTAGATTCGGCGATGTTGTTTGTAAAATGTATGCAGATGAGTTTAGCTTTTGCTAAAAAACTTTAATTAATTTGTGGAACTTGGGAGGGAGATAATATGAGAAATGTTATAGTTAAAAGGAAAATTTGCCTTAACCCAACATTTACTTGTGTTGTGTAGAATCCGCCCTTTCATTCATTCAGGTATCAAGTCATTACAAACCTAAAAATAGTAATCAATGATTTGAACAGCCAATAGAATAATGCCAAATCATTATAGCCTTAGAAACAATGACTTGAAGCAGAGTAATTTATTCCATTCATTGAGTATGCATTGATGTTCACAAATATGAATATCTTCTCAAATACACATTACATTCAAATGTGTACCGGTACATCTAGTATTGTTTAATAGTTTGTGTCAGGCCTAAAGCATTGTCCTGTGAAATAAGAACACGTGTTGCTAGGACTTTACATTTTTATGCATTTACAGTATGTATGTAACATAAGAAGAAATAATGTTGGATCATTTTAATGAAAGATGCTGTAATTTTCATTGAAACATAGTCATTTATTTAATTTCATAGATAAATTTGAAGAAAAAACGTGCTGTAAATTATGGTTTGTTGTGCTGCACATCATTTCATTTTCTTTTACATTGAAGTTTTAAATAAGAAGTTTGTAAATTATTCACCAGGTATAAATGTAACATCATAAATTAATAATATATTAGTTTCATTGTTAATTTGTTTATCTCGACTGAAGATGCACAACAAAATTGATTGACCCCAAATATCACTTTGGTTATTTAGACACTAGTTTGTCAAATTGAATGACAAGATTTTAATACTTTATACTTAATATTTTATATATTTATTTTGTGCATCCATTTTATCATTTCCCTTGGCCAAAGTTCATTAATTTGGCCATCTGCTCGCCAACATACCTTGCCAGAATTCCCACTATAAAACTATATTCACTGTCTACTAAATCAAATAAATCTATTGCAAAGTCACACATTGTTAGCAGTTAAGCTACGATGTTATACAAGATAACAAAATTTATTGGTTTAAATTTGGAATTAATTTGAGCCGATACAGTAGCGCTGATTGATGGATTTGGCACACCAAATCAAATCCTTCAATTTAACTATAAAAGTCAAATGCACCTTTTTCTAACACAATCACACGGCCATGAATAGTCGACAAAACAGTGTGAATCCGATAATGCCAGGTGTACACAAATTGTTAAAATTGATATCCAAATGCAGGTACAGTTCATTAATACGATTGTTGTATATACTTAGCTTGATGTTTTATTGTAGCATGTGTGTTGGCTGAAGGAGCGGAAGATGCTACTGTTGAGTTGGATGATGATATTGGTAGCAGTAGAGATGGATCAAAGACAGATGACGAAGTTGTCATGAGGTAATAATCATTAATTTTAACATTTTTTTCTTCTGATATTTGACAGTGAGTTTGTCGCTTAGAATTTTCGCTGAAGGAATTATTCAGTGCAAATAAAATCCAGCGACTATACCATTTTTTTCCTTTATTTTACACTCAACTCGTCAAAAAACAGTGAAAATAAATTTTATACAAAACGCAAAAAAAGTTGACTCAGTGAAAATTAATTCCAGCTAAAATAAAGTATTTTACAGTAATTGTACAATTGCACGTTTCATGTGACAATTACATCTGATTCATAAATGAATACTTGCAATTTGCATGTAACAGTTGTTGGCTTGAACACAGTACATCTTCGCACATAATTGGTAGGATAGTATATTGATGCTGGAATTATTCAATATCAGAATTTATCCACACTACACATTCTCATTGTTAGAACAGCAACTATTAGATTATCTTGGATTATCTGCTTTAAAATTGTGTTCTTTTGGTCGTTGCTCAACAACATATGGCATAGTACTTAGTATGTGAATAATAAGTAGTCTCCATATTATTTAGATATACATATTTTTTTTTGTCACTGCAATAAGTACACTATAATCTATTTATTCTTTATAATAGAGGGGTCTTCCCTTGTTGTTCATTGTATGGCATACTTGACTCGTACTAGAATTTAATACTTTAATATATTTTGTTACAGAGAGGAGGAAGCAATCAAATTGGATGGTTTGAGTGTGGCACAGATGAAAGAACTTAGAGATAAATCTGAGAAGCACATTTTCAAGGCTGAAGTTGATAGAATGATGAAACTCATTATTAATTCACTATATAAGAACAAAGAGGTAATGTAATGACACGACTTGTACTCAAAATTAATTTTTTTTGTTACAACTGAAAAAGTCAACATTAATATTTTGATGTGTAATATTTTTAAATGTTTTTTTTTTTTTTTTAGATCTTCTTGCGTGAATTGATTTCTAACGCTTCTGATGCCTTGGATAAAATCAGATTGTTGTCTTTGACCGATAAATCTGCTTTGGATGCCACAGACGAATTTTCCATAAGAATAAAGGTATCAATATTTGTAATGTTTTTTTATAATTACTTGAGGAAAATTATGTTTATGAAGTGTTAATGCTCTCCTTGCCTTCAGGAATTTACTCTCCGACAAAAAGCATTGTGCAATATTGTGTTGTCTGTCATACTTACCGGTAATGTCTGTTGAATTGATCAACAATGCTAATTTTTAACTGACTTAATACCAGAAGCATTGTTTTGTGAGAATATTTTAGATCAATGATACTAAACCAGTTCCATGCATAGACCTTATAGGTCTTGTGATATTTAACTGTTTCAATTCCTTTCAGGCTGACAAGGACAATCACATGCTACACGTTACAGACACTGGTATTGGAATGACAAAAGAAGACTTGAAGAATAACCTTGGTACTATTGCTAAATCAGGAACCAGTGAATTTCTCAATAAAATTTCGGTAAGTTCATAAAGTCATATTGTCAAATGATAGCTGTTCAGGAATGATTGTGGGTTTGGAGTTATTAAAATATTGTATAATTGATTAGTAGATATTGTATTTCTTCCAGTTTATAAATAAATTACCATGAATTCAAATTATTTTCCATTGAAGAACAGTTTTTAATGCTATATTGCATACTGAAGCATCTGCTAAAGTTGAGCACAAGTTTCGAAATTTTTCCGTATTCATCAGTTATCCACATGGTTTTATTAATCTGTTTTAATTCAATTTATTTCTTCAGGAGGTGCAATCTGCAGATGAGATGAGTGATATGATTGGTCAGTTTGGCGTTGGTTTCTACTCATCTTTCTTGGTATCAGACACGGTCATTGTGACGTCAAAGAACAATGATGACAAACAATACATCTGGGAATCTGATGCGTCTGAATTCTCCGTGGTTGAAGATCCACGTGGTGATACACTCAAACGAGGCACAACTGTCAGGTGAGTTAATCTTGTGGTACCTGTGTTGTATTTAGTTGGAATTTAATTAGCATTACAAATTCTTGACATTTTGCAGAGTAAACGATACCATGAAACTAAGAAAAAAGATTTTTTTTTAATCATAACCTTGTTTCCATGGAAACCATGACTTTTTGATTGGTTTCTCCATAGTATTGAACCATACTAAAGTGGCCATTTTGAACTGAAAATTGATCAAAATACATACAACTGAGATTCATAATTTAAAAAAACTAGTTCATATAATCTAAGTTTATTCTTCAGACAATAAATAAATTCTGTCTTGTAAATGTTGGTCGCAACCATTCTTAAGTTTGTTATCCTGTAGCTTATTAGCTTATTGAATGCTTATTTCCGACCTTTCTTCAGTTTACATATCGCCAGTGGAGTAACAATTTCTGTTTTACAGTTTACTTTTGAAGGAAGAGGCCTATGACTTCTTGGAACCAGGAACCATTAGAGAACTTGTCAAAAAATACAGTCAGTTCATCAACTTCCCAATCTATCTGTGGGCCAGTAAAACTGAGATGGTAGATGAGCCTTTGGATGAGGATGAAATTGAAGCACAAGAGATGGAAGACGCAGATGAAACTGAGGAGGGAGACGAAGATGAAGGTAAAAAAATTGAAATAGTAGCGATACTTTACTGCTTTGGATTGTAGAGGAATAACATAGTCTGTTTATGCAGGAGTTTTGTTCAGTGGCTGCTGACTAGCCATCTACTTGGCTTGATCAGTCAGTTCTTTGTATTTTTTGACTTGCAACCTCTCAAACTTGGCGAATCACCTTTTATATTTTACTCTGTAAAAATTAAAGCTTATAATCTTTTTTTTGCAGAAGCCCAGGTTGAAGAAGAGGCTGAAGAGGAAGAGGAGAAACCAAAAACCAAACAAGTAGAGAAGACTACATGGGACTGGGAATTAATGAATGCAAACAAACCAATTTGGACCAGGAAGTAAGTATATGTTATCTTTAATTCTAACATTATTTTACTTTCTTTCACAGATTTATCATTCTTTGAGGTAAACCAGACTAAATCTCGATACTTGATTTACATTTACAGTCCTAAAGAAATTACAGATGAAGAATACAATGACTTTTTCAAGCAGTTCACCAAAGAGGTTGAAGACCCATTGGCAAAAACACATTTCACTGCAGAGGGTGAAGTAACTTTCAAGTCTATCTTGTATGTCCCCAAAACTGCACCTTCCGGTATGTTCAACGATTATGGAAAGAAGACAGATTTCATCAAAGTAAGATATTCTATCAGTCCAGAGATGGTGGAGGTGTAATTTAATTTGTTTTCAAACCACCTTGTATATAAATACAGTAATGATCCAGCTAGTTTTTGAATGATTTGGGTTGATCCAATGTTAATAATTTGATTCAGTTTTGAGGTGATTAGCAGTAGTGGATTAACTGTGTGCGAATATAGGCTGATTACACTGATATAACTTAGGAAAATTTTACAAATGTGTGGTATTGCATGTAAATGTTTAATTCATTGTTACCATTTCAATTTTTGCTGTATAGAATGAGTAATTGCATAATTCCGAGGTCTTTCAAGTCTTCAAAATATCTAAATTTCAAAGAAATAATTGCAATTTGTCGTACATTTGAAAATGTAGAACATTTTTTTTAAAAAAAACACAAAAAAACTCCAATCAATTTATCATCTCATTTTCATGTGTTTGGAATGAAGTGATTTTAATTTTCTGATCGATATTTTTTCCATTGTTTTGTAGATGTATGTACGTAGAGTGTTTATCACCGATGACTTTGAAGACATGATGCCAAAATACTTGAGCTTTGTCAAGGGAATTGTTGACTCGGACGATCTGCCTTTGAATGTATCTCGTGAAACTCTTCAACAACATAAACTACTGAAAGTCATTAAGAAAAAACTTGTTAGAAAGGTAAGACAACATAAAAAATTTTCAGATTTATTTTACTCTGGGGCTATTTTGCTGTTCATCGTAGTGCGATTCTCCAAGCCCTGGTCAGATGTTACTTTTTCAGAAGCTAAATGCAGCCAGTTTGAGAATTCTTAAATGAATCATTGGTCAGTCTTGTTGCGCAATTCCAACCAGAAATGTTTCTTGCTACAAATACAACCATTCATTAATCAATCATGTCTTTATTCTTTTCAGACTTTAGATATGATCAAAAAGCTGGATATCGAAGAATACAATGAAAAATTCTGGAAGGAGTTTGGTACCAACATTAAGCTTGGTATTATTGAAGATCATTCAAATCGTACTCGTCTTGCCAAGTTGGTCAGATTCTTCTCGTCCAACTCTGATACAGAATTTACCAGTCTCGCTGAATATGTGGAAAGGATGAAGGATAAACAAGAGCATATTTACTTTATGGGTGGTGCCAGCAGAAAAGAGGTAAATGCTAGATATTTGCATAGTTTTGTATTTGTTTCAGTGTTGAACCAAATGTACATAATTCCCCTTTGGCCACAGGTTTTGATGAAAATCTTAAAGAAAATTCTGTGGATTTGCAGTCTGTTCACATAGGTTCACACGTTACATTTTCACACGTAACAATTACGAAGATTTACTCTTATGTATTTATGCAGAATATGTTACTTATGGACACTATGTATCCGATAATGATTTGTGATTTGTTTCTTTCAACATTCATTCAAAATTTTAAAAAGAAATTTAAATATTTTATCTGAAATATTTATGGAATGAAGTAATAATTAATAAATAATTTATTGTTTTAGGTTGAGAGTACACCATTTGTTGAAAGACTATTAAAGAAAGGCTATGAAGTGCTGTATCTGATAGAGCCAGTAGATGAATACTGTATACAGTCACTGCCAGAATTTGATGGAAAGAAATTCCAGAATGTTGCCAAGGAAGGTCTCAAACTCGATGAATCTGAATCCGCTAAGGAAAGATTTGAAGAAATTGAAAAAGAATATGAACCATTGATGAAATGGATGAAAGATGCAGCTCTCACAGATAAGGTAAACAAAATTGGTTTTATTACCTGTAGTTGGTAAAGAACGTTTGCTGCCAATACCCTTGTTTATTCCTATGTTCCTGGTGTCCTGGTAACGTTCTGGTTTTGACAGTACCTATGCTGGCAAGATTTTTGCCGTTCTGGTCCTAAATATATAAGGCGTTTTGAATTGTATATGCCATTGCACAAAATCGTCTTTCATTTTCTGAATTTGTCTTAATGCTTGTTTTTTGTCCATCACAGATCAAGGAAGCTGTGATTTCCAAGCGCTTGACAGATTCACCATGTGCATTAGTGGCTAGTTCATATGGTTGGTCTGGTAATATGGAGCGTATCAT